CCGGTACCGAACGATGCGCAAGATTCTCAAGGCCTTTGGTCGCAACGACAACGAGCTCATGGAGCCGCTCTTTGACACAGCACTGCACGTGAGCTCGACCAGTGGCGGGCGTCCGCGAGATGAGCCAGCACGGGTACGCTTCGTGTGTCCTCGGTCATGTGCTGCAAGTATTGCAAGGTACCCTGCGGTGGTGCTGGAGAAGCTCAAGCGCGATACGTCCGACAGCATCCGCGTTCGCGCGCTGAAGCTCCTCAAGGCCTTTGTGAACGACGGCATTCCCAGCACGGTCTTGTCCATCGTCGAGCTCGGCGGCGTCGACATCGCCGCCAAGTTTATCTCCTCGAAGCACAAAGAGGTCCAGAACCGATTCTGTTGCATGAAATCGACCTGATTGACACGCGCATGTAGGTGCGCACGGAGGCGCTTCAAACCACGGGCGCGATGCTCTACTTGGAGCAAGGACGCGAGAGCGCGATGCTCACCGGCGTCGCCAAGAAGCTCTGCGGCGTCCTCCAAGACCGAGACTCGACCGTGAGCGTTGCCGCTGCGGGTGCGCTCATGGTCCTCGCAGTCCACGACAGCGCCAAGCGCGAGATTTACGAGCTCGGGGCCCACACGGGCTTCCTCGCGCTCCTGCACCGCCCCGAGTACGGTGTCCAGCTCAATACACTCAAGCTCGTGACGGTTCTTGCCGCACACCCGCTCGCGCGCGACGCAATGCGCACCAAGCAAATGGAAAAGACGATGCGCGATATGACCGAAGACGCGAACGAGCTTCTCGCACGCTCGGCCAAGCTCGCGCTGCGTGCCGTGCTCTGGACGCCATAAGGCACAGGAGAACGAGTACGCGACGAGCCGACGACCGCAAGCAGATGCCACGCACAGTATGTGGCAACGTAATTTGATGACCGGCGGCTAGTATCGTCGCGTTTAAGAACTCTAGTCCTAGCCCGAGCCCTAGCCGGAGGCGTCGCCATATTGTCCACTCCCTCTGCAACGCCGACGCCCTTGTACGATGTGGCGTCAGAGCTGCGTCACCGAAACAGTGGGAATGGCTTGAACGTCCATATGAATAGCAGGGACGTGGTCCCAAGTCCTGGTGTATGAAGGTGGAAGGCTGCTGCTGCCGCAAATAACGAACATGTGTTTAAAACACGAACGGGAATGGGTCGTGTTGGAATCACTTGTGAAGCGGCGCGGACCATGTCGGAGGTTGAAGAGACGCTCGAGCGCATCAAGAACCACAAGGGCGTCGAAGGCTACGTGATTGCGGACAAGAACGGTGCTGTGCTGCGCCGCCATCCGCACATGGACACGGCGAGCGCCGAGCGCTACTCGAGCTTCATGAAGGAGCTCACGACCAAGGCGCGGGGCGTCGTGCGAGACCTCAACCCCAAGGTGCGACGACAGTGGCATGCGTATCATCTTTATATGGACGACAACTCGTAGAACGACCTGCAGTACCTTCGCATTCGCCTCAAGAAGTTCGAGATCCTCGTCGCCCATGGTACGCCAGTGTCGTTGCCATGTACTTACGCTGCTGCTAGAGAAGGAGTTTCTCGTGATTGTGATCCAGAAATGGTCGCCGAATGCGACATAAGACGAAGCAATAAGAGCTTTGCGTGTACAGTCGACTGTTTACGCGAGGCCATCGAGGCGGGCTTTGACGAGGGCGTGGCGGGCCACGACGTGGTCCCAGTCGTCCTTGGTGACGTTGGCGTGACCGACGCTCACAGCGTGGAGTCGCACCACGCGCACCAAGCGGTGCAAGTCGTCCGCCTACACCGCGGTTCTTTCTCATTGCATTGGAGGAGATGCGTACCCCGACGGTCGCATCGGCTCGACGTCGCTCAATGTACCACTGCTCGGCCAGCGCCGCGCCTTCGTTGCCAAGGTCTGCGTTAAAGTGGCGGTAGACTGCGAGGTAGATGCGAAAGCACTGGAGCTGCGCCTCCGAGTACGTCGCATCTCTTGTTGTCGTCGGCTGCAGCGGGACGTACAACGTTGTCGGGAGGATCGACTACGCGCAACAACGTACGACACGGAACGAAAGCCTCTGACGCACCTTGGTGGCCGAGAGCGAAATGACTTTGGCGTCTTGGTTGAACTCTTTCTTGTAAAAGCGAAAGTCGTACGGCAGCGCTTGGTGCTCGACGAGCGTCATGAGCGCGGCCATGTTGTGCGTGCCCTTGTCGTCGAGCTACACAGCGTCAGCGTCGATAGGGACATGCAGCGGAGGGACCTGTCCCGTAGTCAAGTTGGCCTCGTTGATGAGCAGCGTGCTTCCATCCGGCAGCTGCAGTAGCCCCGGGTGGAGGTACTCAATGTCATAGTCCTACATCCGAAATGAGATCAGTCCGCGGACGCACACCACCTTTTGAGGAAAGTAGAGCGCGTCGTGCAAGGTGATCCAGTGATATATACAGCGATAAGCACATACGATAACATGAGCGTTAGTGTCGTTCGAGGGACTCTAATTCTGCTGCTGCTTTTGTTTG